TTTATAGCAGTTCGACTTTCTCAACCAAAGTCTACGTCCACTACCTTAGCTCATCACCAAGGATTTTCCAACAAATTCACTAATTTGTTCTTTCTTTTAAAGATAAAGAGTAACCTTACAAACTCCCTAGTTTTTCCGGGCTAAACTAGAATCTTTCCCTAGCTTTTACACGGGCTAAGCTAGAACATTTCCCCTTTACAAAAGGATAAAAGATGTAAACAAGAAAACCTCTCTAAGGTATGTGTTTACAAGATTGAACTCACAAGAACAAAATATTTACAAGAGAAATATGAAATAAGAATGAAAAACTCTTCTCTTGTGTTTGATTGCTTGGATATTTGTTCTCTTACTTCTTCAAGTGTCCTTAGCTTGTATTTATAGCTTGGAATGTGTTTGAAGTCGTATATAGTCGTTGGGGATGTTTTGGAGCCGTTTGAGGATGAGAAACAATTAATAAAACAGCTTGGAGTGTGGGGGGAATCGGTACCCCCTTATAGGGAATCGGTTCTCTAAGTGCAATATGTTTTTTACCGTTAAACAGGGAGGAATCGATACCCCTTGGGGGGATATGTTCCCCCTGGGAGGGAATCAGTATCCCCTGGAGGGGGAATCTGTACTCCTGGACATTCTGTTTTCTCGTAGCCAAAAACCTGTAGGGGGAATATGTACCCCCTGGGGGAATCTGTACCCCCTGGACAATCTGATTTTTTTTTTTTTTTGAAACGGTTTGAAATACTTTGTAAAATTGTTTTAAAAATAGTTTAAGTATAAAACTCAATTTTACACTTTAGTAAGGATTAAAATGAACTTTGAAAGACTTTGAGTAATATTTTGATATTCGAATAATTATATCGAATATACTTAGAAAATCTTTTAGAAAATCTTAAAATTCATTTAACTTAATTTGTTATATCGAAACATCAAAATGTTTTCAACACCATGCCCCCCAAAATTTTAAAAATTAAAATTTAGACTCTTAAACTTTTTTGCCCCCCAAAATTTTTAGAAATTTATATTAAACTTTAAAATGTTTTAACGTTGTTAATTAAACCCCTCCCATAATATTTAAAAGTTCTCATTAAGTTCTCAAAATTTCAAAAATTTTAGTTAGACACTAATTTTTTTTAAAAAAAATATATAAACTAAACCCTTCAAAAATTTTAAAAAATTTAATTTAAACCTTTGAATTTTTAAAGTTTTAAATTGCCCCGAACTCTTTCATCAAGTTTTGCCATTGGTGATTACAAAGTAGTATCTATTCTAAATACTCTCGGCCATTTGACAATAAACGCTCAATCACTCTTGCAGTCGTTGCTGCTCGAACATGTGACCTCTAAGAATAATAATGATTTCTTTAATTAATGAAGTAAGTTGGTTCGTAAAAAATGAAAGGCTTAATACGAAAATAAGTGTCTAAACTATGCCTTAAAATATGTTTTAGTGCCTAAAGAATTTTTCGCTAAAAATATGTGTTTAACGTTTTCTCCGTTACACTTTTAGGTGTATAGCGTCAACCACCGTTAAACTGGCCGTTAAGTGGCATGTGTCGTGTTCTGATAATTTTGAAATTTTAAAAAAATATAATTTTTTTATTTTAAAAAAGCCTAATTTTTTTCAAATCTTAAAAATAACCCAAAACTTTTAAAACTTTAATTTTAATCCATTTGCCACAGTCGGTCCCCACCAACGACGTCAATCTGCCGAAAACCCAACGACGTGTGACTGGCCAATCACTCACAACCAAAAGCCCCGTGCTTTCGCAACCAATCGAACACCCAAAAATGTTGTAATTGAATTTTTTTTGTTTTAGGGTTTAAAAACCATAAAACCCCCCTTAGATCGATTGTGATGGTCGGTCGTTTGTCGTTTGGCCGACAGTGGCAGTCGGTCTTAGGTTGTGACAATTGGCCATGGCAGGGGAGGGGGAGAAGGGAGAAAAGGGGGAGGGAAACCAGGGGGAGAGACAACACTTTTTTTATTTAAAATTTTTAATATAAAATATTTTTAAAAAAATCAAAAATATCGAAGCATGATACGTGCCACATAACGGGAATTTTTAATGGCGATTAACGTCCGGGCACCTAAAATGGTAATGAAGAAAACGTTAGACACCTATTTTAGCGAAAAATTCTTTAGACACTTAAACATTTTTCGAGGTAAAGTTTAGACACTTATTTTTGTATTAAGTTTAGATACATTTAGTATGAATTCTCTCCGGACACCTTCCCTACCAGACATTGTATACCACTCTTTACAAAGAAGAAGACAATAATCCCAAAAACAACACATCATAAAAGAAAACATCTCGGTGAGTAGATTTGGTGCTTCTCAAGCTCATGAAGTTGTTTTTGAGTAGATTTGATGTTTCAAATGCTTGGATGATTGCATCCCTTTATAAAGGCTCTAATAAAGCCGGTAAATCTCTATCAATTTCGCATGTGCAACCACAAATGAACCTGCAAGCCATAAATGCCAATGCGTATGTTAAAATTTTACTTTTGAGATTCCTGATATACCTTTAACTGCTCAACTCTTATCTAATTTACTCACCTGATACATAGAGTAACATGTTTTATTAGCCGTTAAAAAAATTAACGACGATACTAATGTGATATATGATATTTTAATTATTTTCTTCAATTTTTAATAAGGATTCTGATGTGATCCCTAACATGCTCCTATGGCCGAACCAGATTCAAACATGAAACCACTATTACAGGAGTTCAATACATAACCACTACACTAAGTTAAATACTTGATAATCGATAAAAGAAATAGTTATGTTAACATTACAATAGAAAAAAAACGTAACACTGGTGATAATTTTTTAGAAGAAAAAAAATTGATTACTAGAATAGAAAGGCAATAATAGATTGTTGACCAATAAGGTAATTTGCCCTTATATTTATAAACAAGTTTATATATATATATATATATATATATTCTGAATAATTCTTAAGGAAGATGAATTTTGCTCCTAATAAAACATGTACCCACAACTTAGAGGAGAGGGAAGCTTACATCCTCTGTTTTGAAAATCGGACTGTATCGGCCGGTTCAATCGGGAATCGTTATTTAGTCCAGTTCAATCTAAACCGGTTGAACCGCTATTAGTGAATCAGTCAGAACCGCTGAACCGTTCGAACGGGACCGGCTGAAAACTGTAAAAAACCGGGATTTTTGTTTTTTAAAAATTTAAACCAAACAACGTCGTTCGTTAAACGAGTCAAGTCGAACTCGAGTATTGCCGAGCTCGACTCGAACTTGAAAACTTTAAAAGTAAGCTCAACTCAACTCAAACTCACAAGCTAAAAATTATCTAGTTCAACTCAAACTCGAAATATAATATTGAAACTTGAACTCAAAAAGGCTTGAACTCAAAAAAAATTAGAAGCTCGATTGAAGTCTAAAATTCGAGCTTGATTGAAGTGAAAGAATAGTTATATAATTATAATTATATAATTTTGTTATGATTTTTTTAACCCCAAATTTATTTTTTAAATATAGTTATATAATTATATTTATTATTTAATATGTTTTACCTTAAATATTATGTTGTAGTTAATTTGAATCATTTTGTTTCACTTGATTTTATGGTTTTTAACTTATATATGTTATGACTTGCTTTGAATATGACTTATGATATAAAAAATTATTTTTTATTAAATATTTTTAGTATTTTTATTTAATTATTTAAATAATTATGTCGTCGTCCGTTTCTTATGACCGATCGGACCGGTTCGACCGGTTGAACCAGTGAACCGATAACATGACCGGTTCGCTAACCGATCTGATTCTGAAAACCATGCTTACATCCACTTGCTCTATATTTTATCATCGTTATTTATTTATAACATATTTATTAATATCTATGTTTGATTATTTATATATAAAATTTTAAGAAATATATTGATTTGTAACTTATTTGTTTATTATTCACAAACATGTTCAATAATTATATTGTTCATACATATTTGTGAACATGTTCGTTTAACGTATTTTTCTATTCTTTCTTCAAAAGTGGAATGTATCTTACCATCACACCAAACAGTTATAGATAAACAAGCACAATTTTAAATAAAAAAACAAGAACACAATTTATGATTTATTCACTCAAGCTCGATTTTTTAATGCTTGTGGATCAAAGCATCCCCTATTCATTTAATGGTACATGCAAAGATCAATTCTATAGAATCGAGTAAAACCACAAAAAATAAAAAAATAAAATACTCCCATCAAATATTTAATATTCTTATTTTTTTAAAAATGAGTAAAACACACAAATGGTCCCCTAGCTATAGGGTACTACTTTATTAAGTCATTTGACTATTAAAAATTATAAAATAGTCCTCTAACTATATAGAATGTTGCTTTGTTAAGTCCCTTGACTATTAAAAGTTACAAAATGGTCACCCGACTGTTCATTATGTTCTAAACTCGTCATTTTCCGTTAAAAATTGATGATTGTTTAATTTGGACGTCAACATGATGACTGAGATGTGATAGTTATTTGATAGTCTCAGATCAAATTTTATCATATCATAATCAACATATTAACATTCACCTCAAAATACCATTCATTTTTAATAGAAAATGACGAGTTTGGAACATAATGAATAGTCAGGTGACCATTTTGTAACTTTTAATAATCGAGAGACTCAGTAAAGCAATACTCTATAGTCGGAGGATCATTTTATAACTTTTAATAGTTGGAGGACTTAATAAAGTATTATCCTATAATCGGGGACCATTTGTATACTTTACCCTGTAAAAAATTTATATAGGAGATCTTGATTAAACCGGAACAACCCATTTACGTGATAATTTATTAAAAAGCACTATATAAAGAAGCTTATTTACTCGCATCTCCAACGCTCAATTAACCGTCTCCTATCGGTCGCCACTTCCTTTTTCCCCCATAATACGATTCAAAAGCTTATGCAAATCCTTGTATTATTTGAACAAGGTGAAGATCATTCTGTGCGTGTGTTTTTGCAAGGATGAAGGGCAGTGATGAAACCGGTTTGAAAAAAGGGTTATGGACGCCGGAGGAAGACCGGATCCTCGTCGATTACGTCCAGAGACACGGGCATGGGAAATGGAAATCCGTCGCCACTTCGGCCGGGCTGAACCGGTCTAGCAAAAGTTGTCGGCTCCGATGGACTAATTATCTCCGGCCTGATATCAAGAGAGGCAGCGTCTCTGGTGAGGAAGAGCAAACAATTATCGATCTCCATGCACTACTTGGCAATAAGTAACCTCTCTTTACTTTCGAGGTGTTTTTATACGATGAATGTTTGATGCACTGATACTATGCCATTTTTACAATTTTATGATGATGAATCATTATTTGATTCATCCACGATGCATAAAACCATACAATATATCAAATATTAATTATTTGTTAATATTCTTTTAAGTTTACATTAATAATTCTTTTATAATTTAATCGAGTCGAGATTCATTCGAGACAACAACAAAAAAATATCCAGAATTTTTATTATTGCACCAACAAAAACGTATCAAAACAACCATTATCCAATATAAGCTAAAAATCATACAACAACTCAAACTTGTGTTAAAAACCACTCCATGCAAACCACACCAAAAACTTATACAAAAACAAAAGAAATTAGAACATAGTAATTGACAAATTAAAGTTATAAGGAAAATGATAAATGATATTTTAATGAATGTAATATCATTAAAATTTTTTGGGTAAAGTATACAAATGGTCCCCATACTATAGGATATTGCTTATTGAGTCCTCCGACTATTAAAATTTACAAAATAGTCCCTCGATTATAGTGTGTTGTTTTGTTGCTCCCATCGACTACTTAAAGTTACAAAATTATCATCTAACTATTCATTATGTTTCAAATTCGTCTTTTTTTTGTTAAAAATTGACGGCAGTCTGAGTTGGACGTTAACTCGTTGACTAGATATGATAAAATATAATCTCGTATTCTCAAACGACTATCATATCTCAGTCAACATGTTAACGTCTAGCTCAAACAACTGTTAATTTTTTAACAAAAAATGACGAGTTGAGAACATAATAAATAGTCGGGTGACCATTTTGTAATTTTTAATAGTCGAGGGACTCAACAAAGCAACACCCTATAGTCGGAGGATCATTTTGTTACTTTTAATAATCGAGAGACTCAACAAATAAATATCTTATTGTCGAATAAACATTTGTAAACAATATGTTTTAGAATACATATGTGATGTTAAAATAATTCTAAACAACTAAATTGGAAGAGTGGTTAGTAGAATGAGTGTCAGTAAAATTTGATTTGAATTAGTTGATGAATAAATCGAAAAAGAATTTACAAAGATGATATTCTAAGTGGTATATATGATTTAACTTGGAAGGTGGTCTACAATAGCAAGTCATCTACCCGGAAGAGCAGATAACGAGGTTAAAAATCTATGGAGCACTCGGCTGAAGTGGAAGCTTATCCAGATGGGGATCGATCCGGTCACCGATGGACCGACGACCGACGTTCACAGCATTCTAGCTAGCCAGCTCCAGCTGCTCGCCGCTGTGAATTTCTGTAACCCCATAGACATCAACAGTGCTCTCATGTTGCAGTCAAATGCTGCTGCAACGATTGCCAAAACACTCCATCTGTTGCACAACATGATTGAAGTCATGGGCACCACTGCCAGTAATCCCGCGACCGTCGAGAATCAACCGTTCGGCTACGGCCTCGGACACGAGGTTACGGAATTGCAGTCGAATTTTATCGACCTGGTGGCTTCTCAACATCAGCCGAAGCCGATCCTAGACTCGAAAACATGTTCCAACAGCAATGATGTTCCGTTTGCTTCTTCATCGTTTGCTGCTAATGTTCAAAATTCAACTACTCTTCAGCTTCCGACGTGGATTACGGCATCGCCGGAGTGTCGACCGCGACCCGACATCAACGTTGTCCAGAATGTAAACAATATCTCTAACCCTTCCACTACGTTTGAAGCTTGGGGTGATGAAGCAACGGCAAGTGACTCTTACTGGAGGGATATTATAGAGTAAGCAATAAGCATACAACTTTCTCCTCGTTAATGCAATGCTCAACTGATTTTTCCTTTTTTAGAGTTAATTATATCATATATCCTCAAAATATGACTCTCATTTTAAATTGGTCCCTAAACTTTTAAATGTCCTAATTTTATCCTAAACTATGACTATCATTCTAAATTAGTTCTCAAACATTTGAATATTTCAATTTCATCCCCAAACTATGACCATTTTTCTAAATTGGTCCCCAAACTTTTTGAACATTCTAATTTCATCCCAATTTCATCCAAATATATAATTACTTTCAACTATATTTTAACCTAAATTTTATTTTCGTTCATACATATAATAATATAACTTGGCCTAACGATATATACATACAATTTGAGATGAAATTGGAATGTTCAAAAAGTTTGGGGATTAATTTAGAAAGAGGGTCATAGTTTAGGGATGAAATTGAAATGTTCAAAAGCTTGAGGACTAATTTAGAATGATAGTCATAGTGTAAGGATAAATGTGGAACATTTAAAAGGTTAAGCACTAATTTAAAATGAAGATCATACTTTGAGGACATATGATGCAATTAACTCTTTGTTTAGTCTAAAATTTTAAGCCATAAAAGTAATTTCTAGGGTGAAATACACTAGAGATCAAAAACTATGCTAAAATGATTATTTGGTCATTGTACTTTTAAAACTTATAAAATGATCATTTAGTATCACAAAATAATCACCGTGACATTATAACGATTGTAGAGGTACAATAAATTTAACAGATAAATTATAATAATTTAATAAAATTTAATTATCACTTTATAACCTCCAAAAGTTTAACGACTGAAATAATTATTTAAATAAAATTAGTCAATTTTAGTCTAGTTCAATTTTTTTATTCACATTAATCATTAAATTTGGATTTTTAATTTATTTTTAATCATTTTGATGATATGATATTAAGAATCTATCACGGAATGCAACACTAGGAATACCTCATATCATCAAAAGAACTAAAACAGAAAATAGTTAAAAGAAAATTGATTTATCTGAAACTTTAAACATTTAGTCCCTAAATTCTATGTTTTTTTTCAATTTTGTCTCTAGACCTTTTCTTGATCCACTATTATTTTAAAGGGTAAACTTGCATTTAGTACCTAAACTATTAGTTTTGCTCCGTTTTAATACCTGAACTTTTAATTTTTCAAAATCATACCTACATTTTAGTTTTTGTTTCATTTTAGTATCCTAATTTAAAACTTAATGTTAAATTTTGAAAAAAAAATGAACGTTTAGGTACTAAAACTGATAGTTTAGGTACTAAACGCGTTAAGTTTTTGATGATAAGATACTAAAATGAAACAAAAACTAAACGTTAGGTATTGTTTTAAAAAAATTAAAAGTTTAAGTACTAAAAAAGATCAAACTGGTAATTTATGTGTAGTTTACCCTATTTTAAATTTAGACAATTTATCTATTCTATTATTGGATACTAACTCCATCTTTAAAATTAAGGACTGCTAGTTGTTTATATTTTCATTTTTTATTAAAAATATATTTTATTATTTATTAATCTTATGGTGTTTTTTAATAAAAATTGCAGACAGACAACGCCACGCTCTGGGCCTCCCGCCTCCCCCATAGTTAATGGGGATTGAATGTAACAAGAGTTTGGTTTAATATCTTATCTAGTCCTTGCTATTGTCCATCAGTTAACAGTAGGTCCTCCATAAGAGGTAATATAGGAGGAAGATTTGTTAAACATTTATTTTCGTCCCTGTACTATATTCGAGTTGAAAATTTAGTGTAAATATTTTATGTGACATTATTCGAGCATAAAAGATTCCACTAATAGGATGACGTGGAATATTAAAAGAATATCAAATCAAGCATAGCAAAGTATAATTTAGTTGAATTAATAACTCAGTAGTAAAAAGAAGATTATTTTTAAAAGGTCTTGTTCGAGTATCTATATTTAAAGGGTATGTAAGTGTTATTAATAGGTTAAGAAAATTCTGAACATATACTACATTATAAATAAACTTGTAATCACCCTATACTATTGAAAAATAATAATAATGGGTAAAGTACACAAATGGTCACCCGACTATAGGGTATTACTTTATTAAGTTCCTTAACTATTAAAAGTTACAAAATAATCATCTGATTATAGAATGTTACTTTATTGAGTCCCTCGACTATTAAAAGTTACAAAATGGTCATCCGACTATTCATTATGTTCTAAACTCATCATTTTCTGTTAAAATATCGATGGTATTTTGAGTTGAACGTTAACATGTTAACTGTGATATGATAAAAAATGATCCTAGAATCTCAAACGACTATCATATCCGATTCATCATGTTAATGTCTAGCTTAGACAACTGCCAATTTTTAATGAAAAATGACGAGTTTGGAACATAATGAATAGTCATATGACTATTTTGTAATTTTTAATAGTAAAGGGACTTAATAAAGTAACATACTATAGCTAGAGTACCATTTGTAACTTTTAATAGTTGAGAGACTTAATAAAGCAATACCCTATAGTCGGAGGACCATTTATGTACTTTACCCAAAAAAATTAGTTGGATAGTAAGGATAATTTATAGGGTAAACTATCTAAATGGCCATTGAAATATGAGTAATTTTCTCCTTTCCACATTGATGTTTCAAAAGTAAAGATTTGATAATTAATATTATCATTTTATAATGAATTGGTCACTCGGTCGTTAACACTATTACCCCAGTAACGAAAGACCGACGTAACACGTTAACCTAATCATCATCTTCCACACATTTATTCTTCTTGAGAACCCCAAATAAACCTCCTTCCCCACCTCCATTTATTCCTTTGCTCTTCTTTTCACCTCGTTCATTCTTTCCTCAATTACCACGCTTCATTTAAAAAAAACCCTTCAGTAGAAGGGAAAAAGAGCACATAAGTAACGGTGATCAAGATCACAAAAGAGACACCTACATAGACATATTCTCGTAGCACCTGACAATAAAAAAATACAATTCAAAATTATGAACACCTTAGAAAGTAAAACAATATTACAAAAAAACATAAATCTGAGTACGCTATATTGTTTATAGACACCCTTCAAGATCCACCCATCAAATATTCAGAGCGCAACAGTCATCTAGCTTACGGTGTAATTTCTGACATTTTGGAAAAACTCATCATCCAAGATATTCAGTAGACCTCCGAAAACTTGTCAAACTTGACTTCAAATATAATTAATATCAGCCCAACAACACAATAGTATAAATCTCCAAATGTTCCTTCCCTACTTCCAAATTTTGAGTCACTCATGTCTCAAGTTTCCCTTGTCTGATAAATGATGGAAGACATGGTGGAGATAATGGTAAGAAAGGGTAATTATTTATGTTTGTGGTTATGAAAGACATGGGGGAGAACAAATAAGGAAAACATGGTAAGGGGGGGAAGGAGGAGGTGAAAAGAACAACAAAAGAGGAAAATGAGGAAATATACGTGATGGTAAAAAAGAGGGTTGGGGAGAAGGTTCACTTGGATTTTTCAAGAAGGATAAAAGTGGAAGGTGATGATTAGGTTACTAGGTTAATGTGTCACATCATCTTTCTACTATTGGGGTAACAGTATTGATTAAATTTTTATCAATGAATAAATAAAATATTCAAAAATTAAAAAATAAAATAGTTCCATATTTTTTCCGTAGTTCCATATTTTTGCCAATAATTAAATTTGTACTTTTAAAATATAGTAGGAAAAAGAGAAATTTACTCATACTTCAATGAGTACTTATGTAGTATGTTTCGAGAGCAAATCTCATCCCTGTCCCAATAGAAAAAGTCATTTACGTTATTCAAAATCAAGTTTGATTAACGAAACTTCTTTGGATCTCATGAGAATGCAACATGGTAGCTAACTAGCTAACGAAGAAGTCCACTCTTGATCACTATCGAGTTTCATTTTTTGATTCTGTACCACCCAACATTCAATCGTTTGTTTCAAAGGATGTAACACCCTAAACCCGATTGGGCCTAAAGTGCCACATTAGGCTGCCGAGGTAACCCATGGTTTTCAAATATTTATTCATTTCCTTTTTAAACATGTTGAGTGGTATCATAATTAAAAACATAAATAACATTTATAAAAACATTTTACAAAAACCGAAGCTCTGTGACACATAATTTAAAATCAAAATAATACAATAATTTCTTATAAAACTGAATACATAAGTAAGGTCCCATGAATATGCATGCCCTCTAAAACTACTATATAATACCTTGAAAGGGATGCTAGAAGTCATGCAGTGACGGTGCTCCACTAGCTACTCAGTTACTAACCTGCCCACGGAAAATATCCGAAGGTTGAGCTTACAAAGCCTAGCAGTATAATCACTAATCTAGAGCAACATAAGAATTCATAAATGCAAGCATACTAAAGACTGAGTTCTAAGCAGTAGGTATATGCATGCTCTCGATCATGTACTGCCTATTTAAGGTTTTAATGTTCATTCGCTAAAGTATGAGTCTCACGCTTCCCTTAAACCTCGACTAAGGGCCTCGCCGTGAGAACACCTCTAAAAGGTCTCTAACCCTAATAACTGAACTACTATACATTCACTAAATGTGACTCTGACACTCATAGGCATGTCCTGAATGCAGACTTTATCTCTGCTATGCTAGTATCTGGTATCACACAATATCATATACTAGCCTCACTGGCTCTACTATGCTAGTATATGGTATTACACAACATCAAATACTAGACTACTGAGAGTGGGTATCGGTATCACACAACATTGGTAAGGCCCTCTAACTGCTGGATCATCTCCTAGTATCACACAGCGTCAAGAAGATCTTCGAGAATGAATCCCGATATCACACAACATCAGAAATTCCCGTTCATCTGAAGCATTGGCTTGGTATCACACAGCATCAAGCCAAGCTTTTCTGATAGCATAGATACTATACTAATGCAACTCTATATGTATATCTAAGGCCCAAAGGCCACACAACACTGACTCTATT